CCCTAATCTGACCAGCTGTATTTACTGTCATGGGCCAAGAATCCAGAGCCTGCTGCCTCTCCGCACTGACCAGAAATTTCACTGCTTCAGATTTTGACGGTGAGTCAAGGCGAGACCTGACCCAGGTGGATGGGGCCAGAGGACAGTGGGGGCTCATCTGGAAGCATCCAGCCTGATGGGAAAAATATCTCCATTGGGCCAATATATTAATGGCCTTTCCAACAGGCACTCTGTGGAGCCGTCGTGCGTTGTGGATGAGCAGTAATAATTACAGGATTGCAGCATCTCCAGATGTTTTGTATATGTTTCAGTCTTCATTTATTTGTTTGCTGTGCTGAGTTACTCGGGATACTGAAAAATGTAAATAATGAATATGTGATGAGCAGCAAGAATGGATCTCTGCCCTGCCTCGCTCTTCCAAAAAAGCTAATTAAACCAAGTACCAAAATAAAAACTGCTTGAATCTGCTCCAGCATCAGCCATACAAGAGTACTCATGAGCAAATAATTGACAATTAAAGCCCGACTTACAGAAAAGAAGAGAAAAAAAAATATCTTGTATACAGCTGAGGAGAGTGCTTTCGAACAGCGAGGATGTGAGCGAGGGTTGTGTCGATAGGAAATGAGCCACGGCTGGGGAGGGGGCTCGAGCATGCTCAAACCCAGGTGCCAGCAAAACTGGCTCGAACCCTGAGCCAGAGCCACTAGTTGGAATTAGAACTGTTTTGGCAACCTCCCTCATCCGATGTTTTTTAAGCTCCTTGTTGGTAGAAACGTCATTATGGTGGAGGTTTGGAGATGGGGAAACTGAGGCATGGAGCACAAGCAGGGCTGGCAGCTGAAGAGATCACTGAGGCTGGGGTGGGAGCGGATTGCTGGGCTGGATTTGTTAAAAATCAGGGCATGTGCTAATATATACACTGCCTAATACACATACAGCCTGTCTCAGGGCTAGCTTTCTCCTGGGGGTGATGTTGATATGGGATCCCAGTCCAGAGGACGGCGTATTTGTATGAATTATACGTGTGTGTGTGTGTGTGTGTGTGTGTGTGTGTGTGTATATAAACACACACATATACGTGTGTGTATGTATGTACTGTGATCTGATGTGCACTCTTCAGAGTTTAATGCTTTATTTAGACTGAATTAACTTGCTTCACAGGGCTTTGTTTATCCATTTTAATAAATCAGCTCCTTCAGCTAAATCTTGCCTTAAGAGTTGATCATATCCAGAGCCTCTAAGAGAGCAGCAGATATAAATATTTGCTTTTGCTACGGGAAAACTCTCCTGAGAATGTTTTAGAAAATGACTGGGTTTGCCTAAAACAGGGAAGCTGGTAATTTGCTGAGTTATTAATAAGTGAAGCAGCAAAAACGTGGATCCATGGATAAGGGGGTCTCTGGTCACCGAGCTAAGGGACAGCGTGCCATCAGCCGCCTTCCTCCGCTCCTCCCAGGAGAGGATGAAGCCTGGAGGCAGATGGAGGGAAGCACATAGCACAGTGTTGGAGTCAAGTGTTCATGGACAGAAGCAGCAGACTCAAATCATTTCAAATTTCTCTTATTCTTTTTTCCTCCTCAGAGGTCCGGACAGGCATTCGTGGCACTACAAGTGACTGTAACAAAGTCTTGCTGTCTAACAAATGAACCGTCAGCATCTAGCGGTACCCGCCTGGTAATAAAAGCTTTTTAAAAAATTTATTTATTTTTCTTTCTTTCAAAATTGTGAAACATTTGAAATGGCTGTGGAAAACAGGAAGGTCTTTCCTAAGGGAGACTCAGGCAGGTGCCAGTGGGACTCCTCAAAGCAACATTACCTGTATGCAGAGTCCTCCAGCTGCAGCACTGACACCCTTCAGCTGGTCGGTGGGTGTCTGCAGCCAATTGAAAAGGGAACGGAGAGGTGCGATCGCACACTCGGGAAAGCAAAGGGAGCTGATCTAACCATGCTGATGTCACTCAGAAAAATGGGTAATGAAAGCGTCTGGACTGGTGAACTCACTGTGGCGATGACAAGGTGGGAAAGGGTCGGCTCTGGGCTGCAATCCCTCTGGGTGTCCCGGCAGGGCGGTGGGCTCGGCAGCACCTCCTGGGAGATGGCGAGGTGAAACCTGGCTAACAAGACTCCCACTTTGGAAGCTGAATTAAGACCCGGTCCTTACAAGAAAAAAAAAAAAGTTATTATTAGGTGCTGCTGCTAAATGTGCTGCTAGGTCATGACTTGTGGATGCTTTTGGAAATGGGAACCTGGCTCTCTAGTGACCCAGCTCTCAAGGTGCTAAGGCTTGCTTGGCTACCAGTGCCCCTTTGTACTCAAACAGGAACTGAACTCTTAAATAGCTCTAACGAGCTAGGTTGAAAATGTGTTGCATAAAAAAAGAAAAATCTTTAAAATAAAGTCCTCTGAAATCACTTCTAGCTAATAAGCTTCCCCTGGCTGTGGAGGATGGTCAGCTAATAGGTGGCAGATAATCTCCGGGAGAATGAGGGCAGCCTAGATTTCAAGAATAGCATAATTGTATGTAAATTCAAGGAATGGGGAGATATATATATATATATATTTTTTTTTTTTAGTCTGAAAGAGCAAAGTTCATCAGGTAACATGGCAGTTCTGAGCCCAGATGAGCTGTAAGCTGGGGAGTGGGCCGGGGAGGGGGGGGGGCAGCAGTGGCAGAGCAGTGCCAGATCTGGTGCTGCCAGCCCCGTGCTGCATGGGCAGGTCTTTGTTGGGGTATTAAATTGTGACACTAAATGCATGCTCATTTACCAGCAGCCCTCAGCCTTCACTGAACTGCTCCCATTAATTAAACTACCACCTGTTGCTGCTGCCTTTAAGCTGCATGTTGGTACCTCTTCACGGGCAGAGGGTTTTCAAAGCCACCAAGCGCTCTGGGCTCGCACCCTCCCGTGAGCTTGGTGGTGGTTGTGTAACCAGAGCCACTGGCAAATATGGGATTATCTGTGTATAACAATTTCCAGATCACGTTGCTTCTGATTATTTCTAACCTCATAGTGCCCATCTCTGTGTCTGTCCACTGAGGCTTCGCTCATCCAAATATAATTTATCTTCATGGGTTCAAGGCCCAGTGGCTTTTGGCTCTCTGAAAAACAAGCCTCAATGTGCTGGAAGCTTCCCTGCACAGCTCCAGTGGCTTTTGGCCCAACACGTTGCCCATGCTGGAGTATTTTGGGTGTTGCAGGGCCCTTAGTGAGCCCCCCCCAGCCTGCTGGGGAGAACGGACATAAGGATGTCGTGCTCCTGCTGCCGCCCAGACTGTGGCCAAGTGGCTTTGCAGTGGCGGTAACAGCTGCTGAAGGGTTGTGTGTCTGCGTACTCAGGACCAGCTCGTGGGACGTGATGTATGCTCTGAGCCTGGTTGCTAAAGGCAGCCTAATTCCCTGCGCCTTGCAAAGCCATAGTCAGGGTACTGTTGAAGGCAGCCTATCCCCTGGGGCCACACTGGGTGGGCCTTGCAAAGGACTTTTTCAGGAAAAAAAAAAAAAAAATTATGGAAGAAAACTGTGGCAGTAGTAGACCTAATCAGCCTTTATTATTTTTTAGGCAACATTGACATTGTGCCATGCTGACTCTGGCAACACAGCTGGTCGAGGCCCCAGCAAACAGCCTCCCACTCCCTTGGGCAACCAGTGACCCCAGCACTGCGCCAGGTACCCCCACCCCTGGGAAACTGGACCCACTGACACTCGTCCTGAGCTTCAGATGGCGTCACCTTTACTCAGTTCTTGGAGATGTGAAAGAAAATGGGTTGTACGTGACCCCTACTCGCCCGGGGTGCTGGCACCCGTGTGTAGCGTGCACAGAGAGGGAAACCAGCGGGGCCAGATGGCGACGGAGCAAAATTTTACAGACTTCTAGCTCCATCCCTCAAGCTCACTGGGTTTGTCAGAAATGGTTAATCATATTCCAAACGGGCTAAGAAAAGGAAAATAAAAACGCTTTTTTTTTTTAACCATGTGTCTCAAAGTGTACAGGATTTCTGGAGCCCATATGAAAAATAAAAAAAAAAGAAATAAAAAAAAAAAAGGTTTGGAAGCTGTGCTTGCACTTTTGTTACTGAAATTTGTACCAACCCAGTATTTGCCAGCACTGTCTTTCTTACAAAATGTGATCGGAGACCTTTCTGTTGTGCTGGTGAAGGGCCCAGCGGAGAGGAGCATCACCCAAGATACTCCTATTGCTCTGATTTGTTGCCCGTCTGTTCCGATTCCAGTGTTGCATTAAAGCTGGGTTGCACATCAGTGGGCTGCAGAGCTGCTCTCTGGCGAGAACTGGATTTTAAAGAGCTGCTTCCAGCAGTGAGATCATGCTGTGCATGGGGGCACCGGGCCCTGGATTTTGGTAAAAATTGCATGGGAAAAGGTTCTGCAATCCTGCTGCAAGGAGTCTTTAAAGCTTGTTATGTTACCCCTGGGGAGAGGCAGCAAGCAGTTAAAGGGGAAAGGCTGGGGATTATTTTTTTACCATTTGCTGAGCAATTCAGGCTCCCCCTGTACAAAGAGCAGCTCAGCTGTACGGGAGCTGACAGACAACATTCATTGTGCTTTTAATCACTGACAATGAATTAATTTGTGCATATTAAATGCCAACTACGTAATAACCTGTAGTTATAGTGTCATACTTGTGGCTGAAAACAATACCCCTATCCGACTTACCAGCTCTGTTTTGGAAAACAAGGAAATATCTGTGAACCTTCTAAGAAAAAGGCTGTTATTTATAAATTACAGCCTGAAGTCTCCCCCAGCGTAAGCTGGAGACCCACCACAGATTTTGCTGAGCTGAGCTGTGCCCACTGAAACCATGTCAGGGATGGGGCTGAGCTGACTCTTGTACAGGATTTGAATGAAAATCGAGTTTTCTACTCACAGCTAACCAACGCTCCTTAAGAGGAAAAAGATACACATGAGACTCTTCCCTTTGGATGAATACTTCCATTTATTCCAACTGGAAAAAAACATTTTTTTTAAATATACTTAAGTGTCTTTTTTTTTTTGTTTGCTTTTCTTTTTAAAGGAATAATAATTATCACATTGTCCTTTACAAACAACAAAAAAATTCCTAGCAATAGTTTGTGGTATGGAGACATCCATCCTCAAGAATTTTCTGCATCTGCTGCTCTGAGTAGGCAATGGGGCATCCCTGCACATGGCCAGGGGTGCCGGCACCGGCCCTGCAGCGGGACCCTCCTCCCCGGGGTGCAGGGCAGGGGCCGGCTTGGCGGAGGTGCAGGGGCACCCCGAGATGCCTGCAGCGCGTGGGGCGAGGGCGATGCAGCCGGTGAAGCCTCCCAGCCCTCCTGCGGCTCAAAGCCCAGCTTTACCTTAACACCCTCAGGCGCTAAGCTGCATCTTTGGGTGCCAAGAGCCCCTTTTGTAAACCTGCTCCTTCTCGGGAAGCACCGGGACAACCAGCACTGGCTTTGCAATCCTTCGGCGCATCTGCCGGGACGCGCTGCGATGGCAGCACCTCAATGGTTTAAAGCATACAGAGAACAAACTCACATCCACCATAATACAATACAGCTGAGCCCTATTTATAGAACACTCTGCCACAGTGAGGCTGCTGTGGGGCTGTCCTAGCTCCGCAGGCGGGGGCTGAGCCCACCCAGGACACGAGCCCACCGGCCACAAGCGGCCTCGGAGGGGCGAGGGCGTCTCGCCAGGGCAGGGTCAGGCCCGCGGGGAGCAGTTTGCAGTCGTTCTCTTATGTGTTAGGCAGTAGGCAATATTGAGACTTCCACTTGGTAATGAACAGCAGTTAACATAACCCAGGAGACTAGAGCACCATAAGACAAGTCTATATTCAAAACAACGTCATGCTGACATCACACAATTGCACCATTTACACTTTTATTTACTCCAAATAATAGTTCAACGTTGAGTAACTTCAGCGTTCTCTACAGAGGTGTAAAATTCCTTCTCCGGCTTTGGTCATTTACAACGTTGCAGACATTTGGTAGTTCTGTTCTTTCCTAGTTAATAATAAAAAAAAAAAAAAAAAAAAAGTCCCTTTTGCAGCTGTCAGGATTCCTGTATCTGACTGATGGAGCGTACCTGCACATCACAGGCGTGAGCCGACTTCAAAATGCCACCGAGGCCTCTTCAAGATTTAATGAATCACAAAATGTTCTCTTTATTTAGCAGGATCAAAACAAAACAACAGAAAAAAGTTTTTTTTAAAAAAAAACAACCCTCAAAACAAATGACAACTCAAACTCTCACTGATATACTTAAGAAATCTGATGATGAAATGGAAAGGGGGGTCCAAAGTACTGTTTGGTTAGCTCTGGCTGGAAACAATTCTGAATGTGCATGCATTTTCCCAGTGACTCCTAAGATATAGAAATTCCTCTGATATTACAAAATACAAAAATATTTTCTCCAAACTCTCATTTACATTGCATTTACAACAATCATGGAAATAACTTAGGCTCCCACACTGTCTGAGAGACAAATTACCTACCAACATGGCTAATGGGAAACAAAAACATGGTTGAAAGCAAAAGCTACCGGCAAACTGATGCTGAGAGTCAACAGTGGTACTGAAAACGTATGGACAAACAGAACTCAAAAGGGTGGCAACATTTGGGAGAAAGAGGAAAAACTACTGGGTAAATATTACAGGCTAAAGTGAACTTTTTTTTTTTTTTTCTTTCCTCCAAAGTAAGATGTGCAAAATATATTCATGGTGCCCAGGATTATGACTATTTATAGAAGCCAGTCTACAACCTTCTTACAAATCCCTACTCTTCAGGTCTTTTTTGTTACAATAAAAGCGCTTACATGATCTAAAACAGTGCAAGTTTGTGAGTTAATTTACATTCTGCCAAGGTGCCCAGCAAGGATGCCATTAGGATATGATACAGTTTTTGCTCTTCTGTCTTTTCCGGCTGTGCAACTGTCCCCTGCCACTCAGCGTGGAAGACTTGGGCATGCTGTATGAGCCATACTTGTGCAGGAGCTCCTCGCTGGTCACGTACCGGAGGCGGGCGGGTTGGGGAATTGGCTCCCCGAGGAAATAGCCCTCGTTGTCAGACTCCGAAGAGGAGGAGCAGGTCGAGCACCAGTCGTATTCGGCGAAGTAGGGCCCCCATCTCTCGCCCAAGTGGTTCTGCAAGGCGAGATCCGACACCGTCCGGGGACAGTGACCGTAGACGTCCCTGCGGGGACCCTGCTCCATCGTCTCTCTGCAGCTCCTCTGGTGCATGAACTGGTCGTAGTCTTCCCTGGCTCGGAGCGAGGGTCTCTCCTTCAGGCGGCAGCACTGCTCGCTGGCCAGGTGCAGGGCATTATCCGACCGGGAACGTCGAGACCGCCGGGGCCGGTGCGGGCGGTAATGCCGATCATCATCCCGGAGGTTAGTTCGCCGGCGCGTGCGCTCGCTCATGGGGGCATGCCTTGAGCCCTCCTGTGCCCCCAGCTTGCCCCCGGGCACCCCGCTACCATAATCGAAGCTCTGGTGCATCCGCCCATGCGCCTGCCGCTCTCGGTACGCGAGGGGGCTGGCGAGGCCGTGCAGGTTCGGCTCCATGTCCTGGTACTGCTGCACCGACAGCAGGCTGCGGACGGACTCGGCGCTTCGAAACTGCATGGAAGAGTTCAGGGTCCCCATGTTGCTCATCTTCTCTGAGACATTCATACCTGAGTCTTTGCTCAGGTCAGGCATCGAGAACCTGGAGAGATGCTCCTGGCGCTTGGCTCCACCATCTGCAGAGAGGCCTTTGCAGGGAAAGGAGAAAAAGAAAAAAAAAAAAAAGAGTTAAGAAGGAAAATTTTCTATCAGCAGAGATGCGGGGAGAAGGCTGGGTTTGGCCCAAGACTTTTGCTTTGAAAAATAACTCAGTGGTTTAGATGCTGTCCTGAAGAGCCCTTCAAGAGGATGATTTTTAAAAAGTTGGTTTTTTTTTTTTAAGAGCAGGCAGTTCCTCCTTTGGGGATATCACACCAATTATAGGTGTTTTGAGTTGAACTCCAAGTTGCTTTTCACGACTTCCTTCCCCATATGTCTATGCTGTCTGCAACTTGATAGGAATAACTAGTGATGCCAGTGAGAAATCATGCGTCAGAGGTAACCTGAGGCCTCCTGCACACTGAGATAACTAGGGTGCCATGATCTGGCACCCACACCTTGTGCAATGCTGACATGTTTTGAGGGACTGAACAACGTCTGGGGCAGCGGAAAATGGGGCCACTGACTAATTCAGGCTTGTTACTGTGCTGCACCACACAGATCCCCTGAATGACACCCGTGGGAAGACCAAAGGTGCAGCCTTGGCCACGTGCATGCAGTTGGGTTTCCCAGGAGGTGAGGAAACACCTGAGGGCGAGAGGGTCTGCTGGAGCTCCCTGTAAGCAGCGGGAGGGTCAAGCTATCCCTGCAGATATCCAGACAGCTGCATATGGGCACGAAGCCAGGAACATCAGCTCCACCTTGATGGGCTGCCCTGCTCCGAAAGGTGACCCACTGGGTCTCTCCCATGTGCCACCCAGCTCTGAGCTCCCGCAAGGTGCTCTCCTCCAGCCCACAGCTCCTACAAGGTGTTCTCTTCCAGCCCAGAAAGCCTTCACCCGGCAGCAGAGAAGCGTGGTGTCTGCTCAGCATGTGCCCATCAATGAGAAACTCAACGCACCCCACGTCACCCTAGTCCTTGGCCTATTTTCTGCGTGTTTTCTCTCTATTTTCTGACTATCTCCATGTTGGCTTGACAACTGGCAGCACTCAGCGCTTGCATTGCAAGCTCAGGACAACACGTTTCGCAAGCCATTTGAAAGGAAATCCATTTCATCCCAAATCAAACGCAGAATGTTTGCTTTGGCGCTTTTCTCGCCATCCCTCTCCGACAACCTCCCCGTGCAGACCAAACGCGGAGAGCCGTGCACCATCAGCAGGATTTTCAACATGACGCACAGCCCTTATGCAATCACCGAGAATTTACGACTTTGCAAATTAATTAAAAAAACCAACCGCCCAGCCCTCAATTCAAGAATAAACTTCTTTTTCCCTTAACAAAAGCTGCTTACATTTCATCGAGAGCTCAGCTCCTTCAGCATTAGCTGCTGCCTGCCAAACCTGAACAAGAACAAGGGCTGCTGTCACTAACCCCGCTCATGAGCCGCTTCAGGGTTTCGTTGGACTCAGCCTCAAAAAGATCAACAGATCCTGTAAAGATGGGCAAGGTTTTCCAAATCCTCCCCTCGGTGGCACCAGGGAGAGCTTTAGCACTCGAGCACAAGCCGCTGCTGGGTCTCACATGATTTGGCTTTGCTCCCCGAGTCCTCCCAGCCGCTGCAGCCATTTCCCTCTGCTCTTTTGCTTTTCTGCTGTTAATGGGGATGTTTCTGGAGTTTATGATTACAGACGAAGGTAAAGCGAAGGCGATTCCTGAACACCGCAGGAAAAGGGAGAGGCTGGGTTAAAAAAAAAAAGTTAAAGCCATGTTTTGTTTCTAAAAGGACACACTTTTCAAGCCAGCTTCATGTTTTTTGTTTCCTAAGCCGCACTGATCTCGAGTGGGCTGACCCAACCCTGCTGACCATCCTTTGGAAACAGTCCTGGCTGGGCTCCCCGTCACCCCCGAGGACCCGCCCGCCGGCGCTCCCCGCTCCCGTCACGGCAGCGAGCGATTCCCCGCACACGCCACCTCCCCGCTGGAGCTGTGATCTTCTGCCTTTGATCCCAGTGATGCCGTTTGTCACATCAGGCACTGCTCCCCATGGGCCTCCCGTGCCACCACAGAGGAGCCCAGGAGCCCCCCCGCCCCCGGAGAGAAAAGCAACTCCGGAACACGCGCAAAGACCTCCCAAAAAGCCAGAGTAACAGTGGGGTTGCCGACGGAGCTGATCCGAACGTGAATCACGGCCGCTGACAGCTGAATGTGGCCTTAATCAGATCTGCCAGACAATAGCTGACGCCAAAGAAAATGAGCCCTTGGTGACATTTATGCAACCCTTCGTTAAAGAGAACTGGCGCAGCTCCGCAATAAGAACGAGCAACGGCAGCGCTGTGCAGGAATACAGATCCAAACACCACAGGATGCTTCTGCAGCGTCAGCAAATTGATTTTGGCAGCATCTTTTGAATGGGGCCAACCTCATCCCGCCTCGCGGGGGCACGGGGCGAGCCGGTGCTTCGCAGCCAGCCGCATCGGATGGCACCCACGGGTCATCTCTCTCTCCTCTGGTCCTGCATCCAGCGACAACAAAAACAAGCATCTGGGGAGAGGTTCCGGAAACATGGGAAGAGCAAGACAGTATTTTCAAATTAAGCGAGACATAGCTGCATCCTCCGCATCACCAGCAGGAGCATTGCACGCAACCATGGAGGCCGAGCGAGATGACCTGCAGTGAAACCTGTATTTCTTTTTGCCCGGAGCAAAGCAAGCCATGATAATTGGGTGGCTCTGGCTCTGGGAAAGACAGAGCCAGCACTTTACATGTTTAGTTTATACAGGATGGAGGGGTCTCAAGCCCTCTGCACACCATGAATGCTTTTGTCTTTTCCCCTTTAAAGTGCTGGTCAGCACTGAGGGCAGCAATTTCAGACAAGGAGCCTGTGATACACGTGCAGCTCGTGCTCGGAGTGCAAGGTTTAATCAGTGATTATTAGGTCCAGGGGATGTTTCTGGCTGTTCATCCAGACAGCCTGATTATAATTAAGCACACATATTTTAAGATCTTGAGTCGCTGGGAAAATGCCGATTATAGGAGGACTCCATCACGGAGCACGTACACCACCGTTGTCAGCACACGAAGCTCAGGGCACGATGCAGCCCATGCTCAGGAGGCTGCAGCAAAGCCACCCCGAGAACAGCTTCATTCCTCCATGGGACAGTGGGAAACGCTCCTTGCTGGGGGCCAAATGCATCTTCCCAGGCAGATGTGGCAGGCTGCATGTGCACAAGCCTTTTTTTTCAGAGCCACGCTAGAAAGTGACCCAGCAAGCAGCACAGCCAGGAGCCATGGAAATTTTGTTTTATCTGCTCCACAGTAGCAGCAAAGGATTTCTTCCACTCGCTCAGGAGCAAAGCTGTGCTTTTACAGCATCACTGAAGGCACCCAGAGCTCCACATGGCTCTTACAGTGCCCAGAAAAGGTCAAGGTCGAGTACCAGGTCAAGGATGAAATTTCTAACCCAAAACACAAAGGTGCCTCCAGGCTTAATTTTACATTTACACCAATGCAAGGTGTAAATGAGTGGGGGTTAGGCCCAGCTTAGTCTTTCAAAGGTCCCCTAAATGATCCTGCCCCTCCCTGAGGAGCTGCAAAACCTCATCAAGGCATAGCAGGAGCAAGCCAGGAGCGCTCCAGTTCGACTGCAGTGAGTTCAGAGAACAGCAATAACCATTTATCTGAAAAATTTCATCTAGAAAATATAACCTAGGAATAAAGTTTGAAAGAGCAAGGGTTGTTTAGTCTAGAGAATAGAAGGCTGAAGGGGATAATAATAACATCCTTCAAATGTGAAAAAAAAAAAACATGCTTGCAAAGAGGAGAGAAATACATTGTTCTCCAGGTCTGCTGAACTCCTTCAAGGAAAATTTCAGCTTGGAATAGAAGAAAACTCTTTCTGTGCGACCACAGCAGAAGCCAGCCAGGGCAGGCTCCAGCACTGGAGGGTTTCTCAGGCACTCGAAGGTGGCGGATGCCCGGGCACAGGCAGAGCAGCTTTGGATCTCCGGTCCCACACTGCCCTGGACAGGGCAAAGGTGGCATCGACCTTCCTCTCTGCTGTGGTCATTTGCCATTTCAGAGCTACATCAGAGCACTGAGGCCCAATCTTCTTGAATTACCAGTATTTATTTACAACCGCTGCAGCTCCCTCTTAATGAAGTGTTTCATCTGGGAACACAGCTAATAACCTGAGCGAGCCCTAACCTGGAAGAACGAGCACACAAGGGGAGACCCCACCACGCAGCAGTGATTTTTTTCTAACAAGGAAACCTGAGAATCTGTTTCCCGAGGCCATCCAGGGGAGCAGGAGCCCTGCTCTGGTCCACGGCGTGGGATAGTTGTTACCACATCACCAAGCCCTTTCCAGGGGTGATGTGCTGACCCTGCCAGACCTTCCTTCTGCAAAATGATGCTCTGAGACACCAAGTGCATCCATTGGCACCTACCCTAGAGGCTCCTCCCCTGGAAGAGGAAAGGTGGCGTCTGCCGTCACCAGCGCGGTACGTTAGCTGGTGGCTGTCCTGTGGCCAGATTGGAGCCAGCACCGCGGCGCATGTGGACACAGCAGGTTATTTTGCTGCCGTTCTCCACCGCGTGGGGCTGCCAGGCTCAATATTTCACCCCGGAGCCATGGAAACACACGCCTTTCGGATGAGCACAAGCGAAAGCTGTAGCTCGTCTGCGGGTGTTTGATATAAAACTCGAGCTGGCTATGGTGCCGGGAACACAAAGCAGGCTTCTGGTTAGCATTAAGGTTTGCTAAGAACATGCTGTACAATCCCCTCTGAAATCCTTTCCCACTCCTATTAAGAACCATGTTTATCCCATAAAACATTGCCAAGGGAAATAACAACTGAATAAGCAAAGCGACGGCACAGAGATATTCCTCATGAGCATCACCTCTACAACCCTGCCACAACAAAGCACTCAGAGGTGCTTAAATCTCACTGTCTGCTTTGCTAAACCGGGGCTGCAAGTTGCGTTAATTAAGAATTATTAAACCACTTGGCAAACGACAGCAGAGGGGCCGCAGAGAGCACGTACGCTGGG